TGTTGTTTCATGAGAACGATCTCGAGGGAGACAAAATTTGTTTCAAGAGAAACGATCTCAAGTGAGACAAAATATATTTCAAGGGAAACTGTCTCAAGAGAGACAAAATTTGTTTCAAGGGAACTGTCTCAAGAGAGTCAAAATTCGTTCCAAGGGAAACTATCTCAAGAGAGACAAAATTCATTTCAAGGGAAACATTTTCAAAGTTTATGTTTCAAAAGAAACTGTCTCAAGGGAGACAAAATTTTGTTTCAAGGGAAACTGTCTCAAGGGAGACAAAACTTTCTTTAAAAAATAATTTTGCGTGAAATGAAATGTCTTCTTTCGAGTAAAAACTGTGTCAAGTGAGACAAAGTTTGTTTTAAATGAGTATGTTTTAAGAAAAACAATCTCAAATGAGATAAATCCTCTGTATTAAATGAGATTGTATCAAGCGAGACAAAATATGTTTCAAGAAAAGTTATCTTTAGCGAGACGACACTTTGTTTCGAGAGAAACAATCTCAGAGGCGATCGAAGTATGCTCGTTCTTGCTTGTTAAAGAAATCATTTCAGAAGCTCTAATCATTGACTTAAAGAAGTCAAATCTGTGGATGACATGTTTGATGTGACACTAAATCACTTCATCGGGCACGATATCCTTCTTTGTGAAGTTAAAATTTGGATGGCTCATTCGCTGTGAAATTGAGCTTTTAATTGGATATCCTTCGTCATGAAATTGAAATCCAATCTCTAGTAAATGGCATCGTTTCGAGTCCAAAATCCTTCGTTGTGAAGTTGAAATTGACTCTGAATGAAACTGGAAAGTTGTTGGTTGAGTCCAATATCTTTCGCTCTGAAATTGAAATTGACTCTGAATAAAACTGAAATGTTGTTTGTTGAGTCCAATATCCTTCGTTGTGAAGTTGAAATTGACTCTAAAAGCTGAAGAAGATTATGTATGCAAAAATGATGAATGTGATTCTCTTAAATATGTCTAAGATGCATGCAATATGAATTAACTCTTGTTTTATCTCCTGGGTGGAGTCTCGTGCTTTGTCTTCTTGTTCCTGCATATGAATGAAAGACCTTCAGAAGATCTGATAATTCGTACCAGGATATTGAATTCCCAAATATGCCTCGATATTCGATGTTGAATCTCAAAAGATGCCCCAACATTTGATGATTCAAAAATGCCCTCATCGTTCCTCATCTATTGCTTCATCACTGATTCTAAGCATAAGTTTTATGTCTGAGAGTCACATGTCAAATACCAAGATCCACTCTAGAGAGATTGTCTTGTTTGAAAAGTAATTTTCTTCTTCTTTTATTTTCGAGATATGAAAATATCAATTAGAAGAGTTTTGAAAAATGTTTGATAAAAAAGTTTTGAAAATATTGCCCCTTTCTCGATTTCATATTTGAGACGAATCATAAAACTAGAGTTCATCAGATATTAAAGAATTAATTACACTGTTAATCCTTCAATAAATTATAGCTATTTGACAAGTGTCAAGACCAAAGCTATATTTGGGAAATGGTTAAGTAAGGAAAGGATAAAAAAGTCTCAGGTTATTGTGTTTGGTCAATGGTTTGGCCTTCTTATTTATTTGATGTTCAATGGTTTGATGGGGTAGCTTGTATGCTCCTCTACTGGAAGTGTTTTCCGACTCCCAGTTTTCATGGTCACGCTCGGATTGTGTGGTGCCTTATCAAGGAATTTGTGCGATCGTCTTAGCTGCACATTTTTTATATTCGAGCTGCCTTTTCAGGTTTTCAACTCGAATCCTCTTTTGGTTTCAAGGCGTAATCAGAATTTACGTCTTGAACCCCCCTTTGTTATTTTTCTCTATCATGTATTAAAGATTTTAGAAAGCTTTTTGCAAATAAAGATTAATCTTGATGGGCGGGATGAAATCTGAAGATAGTCTCTTATGTTCAGAAATCCATATATAATTAGAAGGGACTTTTAAGGTACGTAATGTAGGAAATGGTTCATGGTTATGAAAGAAAATGATAAATAGGCCCAAACAAGGGTTTTAGGGTATTAAACCAAGGATCAATTTATTCTGAAGCCTTCAATCTTGTCTTGATCAATTTGAATCTGCTCGTATGTGTTCCTCTTGATTTTCTCTGGATGCTCCATGATCTTCGAGTGAAGTGATTCTGGAATGATTGTGCTTGATCGATCTCATACTTTGAATCTCTACGCGTCATTTGAATGGAGAGAATCTTTGCATATGTGTCTCATTTTCTTTTTACTTCACTTTTTTCTTTGTTTTTTTTTCTCTTTTTGTTCTTATTGGATCTTCACACTTGGCATTTGGTTCACCTTTTGGTATCTCCTTGGATTGATGTCTTCACTCATATGAGCAGATTTCTTCCACCTTGCCCCCTCGTGTGGAGGGTGATCCTTGGTTAGGGTTGAATCAGAAGAAAAATATTATAGGCTCAATAGGGGACAACAAGGGACATATATACATATATGGATAAATGAAACAAAGTCGTTCATCATATCATACACAAAAGTCCTCATAGAAGAGGTATCCCCAGGGTATATATTTTCAAGATTAATTTTATTCACATGAAAACAGTGTAATTAATGCATGATAGAATTGTTTCGAATGAATTCTTCTTTCTGCTTCTTGTTCCCAACATGTCTCAATGTTCAGGCTCCTTGCGAGATGCCCCAAGTTGTGTGTTAGAAGAATGCTTAAATGAACAACTCAATGCCTTAGATTTTATTGGAAAAATGTCAATTTTGAGTTTAAAAATACAATTGTGTGACTTTATTGACACAAAGAAAGGCATGAGTATGACTCTTTGTGTATATAAAAGATAAAGACAATTTTTAAAAGTTTCAAAGGGAGGTAATGTCCAAATTTGGCATTTTGAGTAAAGAATCAAGGTATTTTATTTTGGGGTTTTTGACATGATACAAGAGGTATGATCTTGTCATATGTCAAAAATCTATAATTCTTGAAGAATTAAAAGAATATTTAATTCATTTAATATTCGAAGAACTAAAGATTAAAACTCATTCAAATATTCCTCTTAAGAAGGTAGCATAAATTCAGTCGTTTTAAAGATTAATCAATCATGAAAGATTAAAAACGCGTTCAAACAAAACAATACTCTTAGTGCAAATGGTAGGTGCAATGCCCCCTTTTTCGATTGTCCATGCCCCTGAAACCATCAGGTTATGGATAGTGCTCTTCAGTGTCTTACAGTTCTCATAGGAATGTCTGGAGCTTCCTATGTGGCAACTGCGCACAACTTCAACGTCGTAGCCCTTAGGATATGGATACTCTTTTCTCAGATCATACTGGTATGCTTAATCCTACAACCAGCTGATCAGGCTCTCACTGTACAAATTTCAGCTTTTCTTTAATTGCTAAAATCTTACTTTCATGTGGTGTCATGTGGTTAAGACCACTTCATTGAATCCTCCATGAAAAAAATTCATGTTTATGAAAATGAAATGTAGATGCAAAATGTAAAAAATGCATGAAATGTTCGAGGCATTGATCCGAAAACATATATGTTATTATAAAAAATCTTTATTGGGACAAAAGTGTTTTATCTTTTAAGAGACAAAAATATCAAAGGTATATTCTGACTAAATCCTCTAGACCTCGAACGACTTCTAACAGGTTGACTAGTCCTCTGCCTTTGTCTATCACTGATTGAATACCCTGTCGAACCGCTCCGGCCTCTCTGGCTGAACCGTGCAAGTGTTGAGTTGCTTTTTGTACTTGTTCCCAAAAGTATCGAATGACTACATCTATGGCTTTCATCATTTGCTGAACTTGTTCTCTGACAGAGACACAATTTAAGCCCTCCATTAAAGTTTATCTGCTTGTTTTTTGAATTCGTCAACAATAGCCTCCATTTTAAGCTGTCGTTTTTTCATCCTACTCTTGTTGTCCTTGAAAGGACTCTCCAAGTCAGTAGCATTTTTCTCGTCTTGCCCCTGCAAATTTTACTAACTCAAAATGTCGACTTTTGATCTGAATCCTTTATAATGCATCAGAGTGGCATATACTTCGATTGCGGGTACCACGACTTCTTGGTTGAATTGTCTAGCAAATTGTCTCCCTGACCATAGTCAGACCTCTGTGTTTTTTTCACCTATTGTATTACAACCCCTTTATCAATTAATGCAAATTATTTTGGTTTAATAAACACGTTTTAGTAGATAAACACCTTTTTGAATGATGTAAATGATAAAACCACTTTGTTTTTTATCTTCCAAAAAGAAGACCCCCTTTTGTATCCTTTCTTTGTACAGGTCCCCCATTCACGCGGCCCCCCAACTTTATTTAAAGTCCAGGCCAGATTTTCACTTTCCCTTTTTTTGCGAGAAAAGGAAGCAAACATACGTGCGAGGTGGTGATAGTGGTTTAGTGGGTATGTAATGTGGTTGAGATAATGGTGGGGTAGTGGAGTTGGTGGTTGGTTTAAATAATAATAATAATAATAATAATAATATAATAATAATAAATAAATATTTTTGTGTAGACCCGGATAAAAAGGGGTGTCTACAGTTCACTTTTGGTTATACATGCATTTTTAGAAATAAATTGCACATAAATTTATTGTCTCGATAATTCAAATGTGGGAGAAGCCTGAATTTTTGTATTTTTCATTCAAATTTCTAATTTCTAATCCTAAAATAATAAATAAAAATAGAGTTATTATTTTTATTTCGAAAAGTCCCGTGATCTTTGAATACGGTTTAAACTATTGATTTATGTAATTAAAAATAACCAATTAGATTTACGAAGAAACCTATATTAAAAGTAAATAAACATAAACATATTTTCGATCTCGCCTTATAGTCTTTTTTTATTTAATCATAAATAATTAAAGTTTGTCATACATGTTTATTTTATTCAATGAATTTTGTCACATAGAGAAATTAGAATTGGGCAAAATATATCTTATAGTCCAAGTCAAACCCGTTAGCCCAATATGTAACAACTCCGCATCACCTCCTCTTTGTCATCCCAAACGCAAACATCCCGTCGTCTTTGTCATCTCGAACACAAACCCTAGATCAGGGTTTAAAGATTTCCTTTTCATCTAAAATTCCCTCTCTTGATTCTTCTTCGATTACACATTTGATTTTACCAAACAAGATCTTCTCTTTTGGTTGACAGGAAAGAAAAGTGAAAACTACACAGAAATGGCAGCCCAAGCAGCAGCTACCACTTTCAGTGGGAACTTAAAGGCTAGTTTTTTCTTCCATCTTTTCAAATTTACCCATTTCATATATTGGTTAATCCTTTCCTTTTCAATCTAATAACCCATCAACATGTAAAGGATAAATTAGTTTTCGATTGCAGTGCACACTAACTGTTTGTAGAATTTACTTAGTTATCATTTACTTTGGAAACATGATGTGCTTAGCTATTTCGAGTTATGGTTTGCAAAAGTTCCGACTTTATTGTGATTGTTTATATGTAAGTGGTGTATGGACGTGATGGATGGAAGAGAGGACCTTCACTGTCATGTTTTCAACTTAAATAGAGTGTGCTTAGTTGCGTAAATATGCTTCGAAGAGAAAACATGAAAAAATGTTTCAGGATTTAATGATATTTTGCACTGGTCCCATTAACTTCTCAACTATGCAAAAAGTTCTAGATGAATGAGTGGTTTTGTAATTTTGGGGACTTTTTATTTCAGGTTCTCGAGCTTTTTACCTCCTATCATGGAGTGAGGTTTACTCTAATCCAGTAGTCGTTAACTTTTATATGATAAACATATAAAAATGTCCTTACAAATTTCTGTATTCCTACATTCTAGATGAAGATTTCTGATTGAAGTCAATGCAAATTGATATACTGCACCATATCTGTTGTTACCTACACCTTTTATTTATAAATTTTGTTTTAACTTGTGCAGAAAGCACTTTCTGGTCTGAGGCGTATTAATCTAGAAGGTTTGAGATGGAGGGTTTTTGATGCTAAAGGCCAGGTATCTTAATCCGTTTCCAGATTATTTTAGAGATAATTAATCTAGAAGTCTTTCTTGTATCGCAAAGAGAGCACCTAGTTTGTGAAACTTGTTTTCTGGTAACCAGAGATGCGAGGCTTGGAAGCCCTCCATCCCTGAACCTCTCTTGTGAGAAGCTATAATGATAAAACAAACTCCGGGTTTTCAATACAATTCTCATTTACATATTTTATAGTAAAGTTGAACCCCTTATTTTAACAGTTTTTTTCTGCTTGAGGTTGAAAGTAACTAGAATAACTTGCGTATAAATTTTTACAGGTTCTTGGAAGATTAGCTTCCCAAATTTCTACTGTAATTCAGGGAAAGGACAAGCCTACTTACGCCCCAAATCATGATGATGGGGATATGTGCATTGTGATCAATGCGAAGGATGTATGTGTTACAGGGAGAAAACTTACAGACAAGGTTTATTACTGGCATACAGGGCAAGTAATACTGTTCTCAGCTGTTTTTTTTAATGATTTGAAGTTTGATTGCATAGTGCAATTACATGAAAATTACTGACCTTTTTGAGTTTAAGATTGTTATTATGAACTACAGTTATCAAAACACGCATACGCTTTGAGCTTCCATCTTTCTAGTTCTTTAGCAGTCCCTATATATTTGGTTTTTTAGATTGGATGCTTCAGTTGGTGATGTTCTAATATACTTCTATTTATGAATCATACTTCTCCTCCAGCTATATCGGCCACCTTAAAGAAAGAACTTTAAAGGACCAGATGGCAAAGGATCCTACAGAAGTCATACGCAAAGCTGTGCTACGCATGCTTCCTAGAAACAAACTGCGGGATGTAAGTATTTTGAACCTGATTAGACTATGACCTGTGTTTACCTGCAAAAACAAGCTGTGCTATGCATGCTTCCTAGAAACAGACTTCTGCTTTGTGATGTTCAGATTCTCATGTTAATTCAGTTAGTTCATTAAAAAAAATGGTTTGCCATGGTTTGGATTTCTGATTGCTTCTGATGAATGCAGGATAGAGATCGAAAATTGAGGATTTTTGCTGATAGTGAGCACCCCTTTGGTGATAGGCCCGTTGAACCGTATGTGATGCCTCCCCGAAAAGTACGAGAAATGAGGCCTCGTGCAAGAAGAGCCTTGATTCGAGCTCAAAAGAAAGCTGAGGAGCAAGAGCAAGGTGGCAGCCAAAGAAAAGGCAGGAAGAAGGAAGCCAAAACAGAAGTTGCAGCATGAAGGGTTATTGATCTCATCCCCTCGCCAGATATCCAGTGTTTTCCATGTTCAAAGGAAGAACAGGAACTGCAGATTTCATTACAATAATTGTCTTTGCTTACATGTTTGCAAAATTTCTTTCTCGCCCAAACATAGCTATTATAGTTTTGCTTTCTGAGGTTCTAATATTTAGGCGCAGCAAAATCCCCGTAGTACGAACTCCTTTTAATGTGTGTTAAGCTATTTCTTTGCTGTTAGTACCACTAGCTTAGCGTATGTTTTACATACTATTTGATTTGATATCCACTGCATTGGCATGTGTGATTTTGGAACTTCCTTGGCATCATTTTGCCTGCTTTATTTTGGTTAAAAACATCCGCGTGCTGTTTGAGCAATCGGGTGACAAAAATGAATGTGTCCTAATAGTTGGATTAGTTTACCCATGCTTTTTTCTTTTTCATTTCAAATTTATTACCTTGTAATGAACGTGTCCTAATAGTTGGGTGACTAATATATATATGAGAATGAGAATAAAGAGAAGAAGATAAGAGAGATCTAACCCGAGAATATAAGAATGGACTGGATTCCAAGTTGTATACTGATTCATAAATTCGGCGTCGTTTTTGCTCGTCCCTGCCTGACGCAAGACAAACCCAAACTTTTAGGTACTATCCCGTTAGAGGCGTAGGTGGTGGTCTTAGAGCGTGTTTGATTTATGGATTTTTAGTTTAAAAATGTAAAGACGATTATTTCTCAAGGAGGAATGAAAATTACTTGGTTTGATCGACATAATATAGGATTATTTGAAAATACATTTTATTGAATTATTTTTAATATTAAATTAGAAAAATATTTATAAGAAAATTTATAAAACCCGTTTCATTTCATTATCTACATTTTACATTTTAATATTTTGTTAATGTATAAAAAACAGTTATATGTATTATTAATATAGTTAATATACAAGTTTATTTTTATTTGTAATAAAGATGTTCATAGATTATGTTGAGTGGTTTAAAAAAGGGGTAAAGTATATAAATGGTCACTGAACTTTTCAGATGCTTGCACAACTTTTAAAACTTGTAATATAGTCAACAAACATATAGTTCGTTTGCAATATGGTCCCCGACGTAACGGCCATTTCACTACCGTTAGGGTAAATTATATAAATGATCACACCTCAAACATAACCCTAAATACTAAATTTCCCCACCAATTATGTAACACCCCAAAGCCATACCTGACCCAGATACGAATCCGAGGTGTCACATTAACTATTTAAACGTTTTTCTTTACAAAATGGTTAAAATTTAAATTCACAATTCAAGAAACTGATTTTTTTTCATTAATTAAAATCAATTGATTTTAATAAACCTATCAGAGCATATTTAACTCAATTCTAATAGTACATGCCAACTATATTCAATATAACAAAATACATAATCATATCCATTTCTTTTCTGATCTGAACTTCGTAAAGGAGATGTTGACCTGTCTTGCTCCTCTTAGTTTCTCTTATCGCTTTCCGGAACATACGTGTGAAACACTCACACGCTAAGTCAATGACTTAGAGAGGCATAAATAAACTTACTATAACATATCATTACTGATTCCTAGTATGCACACTTCATGTAATCATAATAAACTATAGAATGCATTATGCATCAAAACATAAATACTTACATATACATATCATCATAATTTCTGTAACACATTTCCTATCACAAAAGCATTTACGTCACACGAAATATGTTTATTGTATGACTTAGAGAGGCATAAATAAACTTACTATAACATATCATTACTGATTCCTAGTATGCACACTTCATGTAATCATAATAAACTATAGAATGCATTATGCATCAAAACATAAATACTTACATATACATATCATCATATAATTTCTGTAACACATTTCCTATCACAAAAGCATTTACGTCACACGAAATATGTTTATTGTTATCTATTTGTTAGCCCATGTACACATGTGAGAACTAAAGACCTATCCATATGTCCTGAAGAACATAGGTAACCCTGTCCCGAAGGACCTATCTATATGTCCTGAAGAAAATAGGCAATCCTCAACTCTTGGCATGCCAACTATACCTTTAGCTCTCATTTCACATAACATGGGCATTCTCTTTCATATAATTTCCCATATTCATATAGACATATGGTTCACTTTCACATATCATATAACTTATAACATAAACTTTCTTTCATATATCTCATGTCATATCTCATATCTTGTGATTATGTAAGCACATTACTTATTTTCATATATCTCATTGTCACATGTTACATATCACATTTACTTAAACTTACATAGTTCAATATCGTTGAACTTAGTTCACTTTCTTATGTTAGCACACAGACATATAATCTTATATGTCCTATCAATACCTTATAGTAATGCTATATACTCATATCACATAATAATTTCACCTGACTATATCTTATGTTCATTTCTATGTTTAAATCATATAACACCTAAGTCTTCCTTATATAATTTATTCTACATATTCATATAATCTTATATGAATCTTATAGGTAAGTGCTACTTATCTTATCTTATTTCTCTTTATACCAGTTTATATGGTTTATTACACTAACCTCTACAATAACATATAACCTATATCACTTATCTCATATTATTTAAATACTAGCTTACTTTATTTATTTAAATTCAGTTTCATATAACTCCTATAACATTCTCATAGGGTTTTATAGTTCTTCATTCTATAACTCATATATCATAGTTTCCTTTAAGTATATAAAACTTTCCTATAGCACTTATCCTGTAGGTTCGTATCATCATTATGTTCATGTCCCCTAATTTATATATTATTCTCATAGAGTCTCATAATTCATTATCTTATGGTTTATATTTTGTTCTCTTAAATATTCTCATAGACACATATCTACATGACTCACTACTTATATGTAGCATACATTACATTCTTATATATCACATTTATTTTGTCATGCATACATACAAATCATGTAATACATATAATCACATATAACACATATACTCATATCAAACACATGCTCATGTTCATGACTTCATGCATACTACTATAGGAAATAGACTTGTCGCAAGTCTTATTTCCATTAAACATCATATACTATCTAATATGCACTCACCTGGCCTCACTAGTCAATACCGATCCCTTATCTCTTCTTGATGACTATTACTTGTTGACTTGTCCGAACTTTGTTCTCGATCGATATCTACACAATCATACATATTATATACATATCAACATTTTAAATATCATAATTCGATCCTTAATTTCTTAGACCAAAAGAAGGGCTTAATTCGATTTTTTACTTGGAGTAATATCGATACCCCCCGTAGGGTATCGATACTTCCCTAGCTGTGGTATCGATACCAGCCTGGGTATCGATACCCTTTTTGCATTCAAAATCCTTGTTACAGCAATGGGTACTGATACTGACCTTATGGTATCAGTACTCTTGGTATCGATACTGTAACACCCTCAACCCATACCCGATCCGGATACGAGTCCAGGATGTCACATTGACTATAAAAAACAATATTATAAAAAAACAATAAAACATTTGAACTTATTTTATTAAAATACAATAATATACATATGTTAATACAAGTTTATCAAAATACTCAGAGAATACACAACTTGACCCTTTGACTACATGCCAACATTCATTTACATAACAAAATGACCTACTGATTAAATTGCCTCTGATCTGATAGTTGCAGGAGTAATGTTGTCCAGCTGCTTAACCTGTCTCGTCTACTTTCTCGGATCCTACGTATGAAACACTCACACGCTAATTCATCGACTTAGTGAGGTAATATAATAATAATAACAACAAGGAAATATAATAAAAATGCCATAATAAGATGGAATGAGATGAAATCTTATACTTAACAATGCAATTTATATCATCATGTTCCTTACCTATAAGCATATTAGATTAACATTATGAATTCGTATTAATAAGTTTATTGGTCCATGATACCATACTGAGAACCTAAGGTATGTGAGTACAGTGAGGTTGTGCACTATGCTATCACCACAGCTCATATAAATGCACCGAAGTGCCACGTAGAATTACACCGAAGTGCCGTGTAGAATTGCACATATAAGATGTCCCTAAGGACCACGTAGAAAATCCCTTAAAAATCATATACATATGCCAATGATCAAGTACGTGTCTTAAAAGACATCACACATGTTCCAAGGAATACATATATGTCCCGCAGGACCGCGTAAACCCTTTACTCTTGACATGCCAACTATACGTGTAGTTCTCATCTACATAACATGGGCTTTTCTCAATCTACATAGTATATCACATAGACATATCCTTTTCCTTACCTTCATCATAGTTCATATAACTTTGCATACATATTCATTTAAAACATGTTACATAAGTATGAATTCATATCATGCTTCACACTATGAAATGAATCATGCATCAATGTATTGAATCTAGACTTATCACAAGTCTAGAACTGGATACACTACGAAAATCATGTTATGCATATGCACTCACCTATATTTCTTTGCCTTTCCCTCGATCGATCTTACTGGGCAATTATTCTGGAACTTGTTTAGGCTCTGTATCTACATAGTAATTCATTGATACTTATCAGTATACTAATTAATATATTCTAAACTATCATTTCTTAGGCTAAAATAAAAGCTATTTTCATCTTTTAATGAAGACATGCATTGATGCACTACACCATGTATCGATGCATCCATTGACGGGTGTATCAATGCACTATCTATGCATCGGTATATCCCATTCGATGTTTGTATTTTAAGGGGGTGCATCGATGCACTACTTGTGCATCGATACACTGATGGCATTCAATGTTTTTATTTTAAAGGAGTGCATTGATACACTTCATGTGCATCGATACACCTTGAACAATTTTTGAGATTTTACCCTTGATGCATTGGTATACATTGAATGTGCATCGATACACATAGCCCAGAAATGTTATTTTTAGCACGAAATCCCTTCATAATCCCCTCAACACTACATAATTCACCTCCTTTCATATCCCTAATTTGCATACACTTACTTAAATTAATTATTATCCATTCAATACCTCTAAAACTTAAAAATCCAGTATTCCCTATAGAATTTAAGAATCTCACTCAAATTCCAACATGTTCTAATCCATATTCTAACACTTC